AGCAGCAGCAGCATCACAAAATAGTAGTAACAGCAGCAGCAGTGGCAATGACAGTCGCAGGAGCAACAGCAGTTAGGACAACAGCAGCATTATCAGTATTGTAAACAACAATGGCAACTGCAGCAGTAGCAACTTTATGATGATAGTTATAATAGAATGTTATTATCAGTTCTGCTTCAGTTTGAAACAAGTGGCAAGTGGCCAGACAACCTTGTTGCAATTCAACACATCAAAGCAGCTTTCCATGTGAAACTTGCCGAGTTGCTGTCTTCCAGTTTTTCACTTCAGTGTGTAGCAACACCCAAGCATGTTGATGTTTTGAAAGTAAGATAGCTCTTTTCAAACCTACAAAACTTACAATTTTATTTATATCCTGGAGCAATACTCCAGTTTGAATTCTYTGTTCTACATGGTTAGCCTTGATTTGGTATGGAATTACTTTGAATAATCATGCATTCCAGTAAAGGTCCATGAAATTTCAAAGTATTTGTATTGTTGAAGTTAATGATAAAAGGGTAAATTTTACACCGTGAAAAGATGAAAAAGATGAAAAAACTTAGTGACATTTTGGAYGCTAGTCCTTCGTCGGAGTAAAAGAGAAAGTGGTGGTGGAAACACCAACGCAGCTCACACTAATTTGTAGCTAGTTATCTTTTCTTATTGTTGAAGCTGTGCATTCTTTATAGTGCACTTGAGGCTAACCCCCTTWATAAAATAAGTCTGTAATCAAGGAACATAGTAGTGATGGAAACCAAGAACCCAGAGTTGAAAGCAGAGTGCACTGTGTCTCTACTGAAACCACACCGATTCCAAAACAAGCAGAATAACAATGTAAACCAAGCCACACAAAGCATACATGTATGTATTTGAATTGAAACATTATTTTGTCTTGTGCTTTCAGAATGGTTTTGGTTTTAGAGTCRAGATAGCTCACTACAGAGAGATGGTTCTCCTTCAACAGAGTATTTCTTCTGAGGAATCAGAGGAGAAAGAAGTCAAAGAAAAACTGGCCAAGATGGAAAGAGAAATTGTCCATCTGCCTGTTCTGACAACCACATTGCACAGGTACTAAGCTTCGAATACGATTATGCGATGAATGTAACCTATGGGAATCAGGGGGGATGGGGGGGGGGGGGTAGCAGCAATGCACTAACCTCTCACCTATGAGGTCTTGCTTTCAATTAATGGACTTAGCAGCATGTAACCAGAATTTTCAGA